AACCCCTGTTTTCTCCGATCATCCTTTGTTCCATGGCTTTTCCCGTATCCCCGAACATGAACATCAGGTTTTTTAGGCCTTCTCTTTGACCGTTCGTTTCCTGGAAACCTCACATAACCTCCAAGGCAACTTTTCCCCCAGACGGCTAAACCTTCTTAAAACCCTTGCTCATCTTTCTGGGAGCTGCGCCTCTGCTTCGCCTCATTTACCCTCGTTTTATCGAAACCGTTATGGTGACCAGATTATTTCCCCGGCCCCTCCTGCTACCTCTCTAGCCTTTAAATCTATCCATCACCAAGGGTTTCGTTTTTTCTTGTGCTTTTTCCCCTTCCCCTGTTGAGAGCCTCTATACAAACGAATTTTCCCTCCTTTCTGATCGCAGTGATCCCCTTGCCCTTTGCACAGTCCTCTCACGATCTACACAACCTTTCCCTTTATAGAATGGTCACCGATATTTTAGACATTCTTTTTTCGTTCCCCCGCCCCTGTTTGCTCCTCCCTTTTCTCTTTTGCCTACATTTATCTTTTCTTCCCTTCATTTCCACCTTTTATGTTCATGTAGCATCTCCTTTTTTCCCACCCCCCTGGGAATTCCAGCTGTTCGGTCGTTCTTCTCACTCCCTTGCTCGAAAGCCCAAATGCCACGGTGGCTTTCCCCCCCTCTCTTTTTTCTTGTCACTTCCACCCCTTCTCATGCCACCGCTGTGTACACAGAGGCTCTAAGTCTTCAGAAAGGCGCGGATTGCAGCAGTGTTTTTGGACAGCGCGTGCCGGGGGTTTACTTCTTCAGCAGCATTTTTTTCTGCGAACTGTATGCCATTCTTGCAGCACTTTAATCGTATCCACAGCCTGGTCATCTTTGTAGTAGCCCGACCCCCCTTTTGCTCCAAAAGGCTAACAAAATTTATACACTCATCCCCTAGTTCTCCTACCAACTTTGGCTACGCCGTATCTCTACCAAAAAATAAAGATATTTTTTTTTGTTGGGTCCCGGTCATGTCGACGTACAGGCAATGAAAAGCAACACGCTGCGCGGGCAGCATACATGACCTACCAATTTCCTACGAGTGTTCCATTTCGGGGCTATTTTGCTGAAAGCACCCACCTCGCACCCGTTTTGCAAAAACTTGGTCAACTCTGCTCGGTAACAAACTTCATTCTATTAAACCGAGCATAGGTTACGGCCGTCTTCTTGCTCATGCCGAGGGGTTTGGGGGCCACTCTCCCCGCCTTCGCATTGGGCCCCACCGTCTTTCTCATGGGTACTCATGGAGAGGCACCCTGTTCCTCTCTGTGAGCAGTGTCAAGTTCCATATCGATTAGCCACATTTTTGTTTTGACGCCCTCCTACAACGACACGCAGATTTACCCCCAACTCGTCTCGTTTAAAATCTCTCCTTTTACCTTCCTTCTTGCTGATGGACCCCCCTTTAATCCTGACTCCTCATTACTTTTTTGACGACTGATTTACCCCCACAAAATCTATAACTTTTTTGCACTCCCCTCAGCCCTTTTTTTGTTCAGTCTCTTTCTGCCCTTCACCATCCACACCCCGGTTTTTCCGTACCCCATTATCATCCCTCTCCCTTTGCCACCTATCCCTCCTTCTTTCCTGCCCTGCAGCCTGTATATCCTTTTCTAGCACTTCTTTTTTATTTTAAAAAATAATAATCCCATTTTTTCTCCACCACTTTTGTAACCTCCTATTGCCCTCTTATACCCCCTCCCCTATAGCTCGTCTGCTTTTGTAAAAACCTTCATATGCTTATTTTTTTTTCTCTTAGCACTCCCTTTACCAATCATTCTGCCAATTGCTCCTCTTCTCTCCATCACCCACAATCCTGCATCCACAAAAAGTCTGGTGCACATTTTAACACTGCATTCTTAAAACTACCCCCTACCTCTTTAATTTCCTCATTACCTATGCTCTCACTAGCCCATCTTTTTCTCAATCCAGTGGAACCTCAGTACTTCGAAATTAATTCATTCCAGAAGGCTTTTTGATTTCTGAACAAATTTTTTTTCCCTAAGGGGAAAAATGTAAATTTAATTTTTCCATTTCAGACCCCCAAAAATACACTTTCAAAACAAATTTGCAGTGTAATTTCAATGGATTTATGATTGTATTTTCATTTTCTTTGGGCTCATTTGAGGAATAAATAATATTTACAGAATAGTGATGATTTGAATGATTTACGACAAATACCTTGAAATTGACTCAAATTGCAGAAATGTTTAAATTTTTTTTTTTACAAAGTTTTAAACAAAGTCCCCCCCCCATTTCAGTTACCTCTGGCACCCCAAACTACCTGCTACAAAACCCCCTACAAATTTCTCTAATTTGTATTAGGTCCCTGACCAAGTTAAAATTAAAAAAATATCCTAACAATAGGGCCAAAAAAAAAGGGGGAATTGGGAAATTTATTAAAACCCCAAAGGAAATGAAAAAGATTCAGTTCCTTAAATCAAAGGGGGCCCCATACCATGGCTAGGAAATTTCCCTTTAAGATATTAGTCTCCAGATTTGCAACCACTTTGGCACAGAAAGCCAGTGGCACCCATGGCATTTACACAGGCTTCCATCCCTAACCCCAAATATGTGACTAACCTTAAGGGCCCCCCCCAGGTTTTTAACATTTTCCCTGAATACGAAAAACACAGATGTGCTGTGAATAACACCAAAGTTACATTTTTAAATTCTTGGGGGGCTCACTGAACCCATAGGAGTTGTATAACACCTTTGAGAATAAGGGAGAGATTTGATCCAAGGGAGAGGTAGCTCCAATTCTTCAGATCAAGAGCCATTTACCAGAACCAGGGAGTGTTTAATTGTTCCCTTTTTATTTTCCTTCAGCATTCACATTTTTGCATTTGTTTCCCAAAGTGCATCACTCTTTAACAAAAGATTGGGGACATTAAAACTCAGCAAAAATTTTGACTATAATGATGTAAGAATTAGGAAACTACAAAATCTATATACACTAGTTACCATACTATCTTACAACAGTTAAATACATGTGAAATGCATGTCTCATAACTTTATATATATGTGCATGTATGTGTGTGGTGTTGTGTGTGTGTGTGTGTGTGTGTGTGTGTGTGTGTGTGTGTGTGTGTGTGTGTGTGTGTGTGTGTGTGTGTGTGTGTGTGTTGTATATGTATATAATATATATATATATATATATATATATATATATATATATATATATATATATATATATATATATAAAAATATACACACACACACATACATACATACATACATATATATAATATACACAATTTGAGATCTACCTTCATGGATGTTATGAATCGTGGCAGTCACATATACACCACTCATGGGAAGAAAGGACGTATGTAAATTTGTGTGATTGGTCCTCTTGCACACAATGTCTACACTTCTAATATTTTTCATTTTGTCCAAAGCCACAATAAAAAACTGACACTTTGGGAAACTACCAAGTACTGTATAGAAAAACAGAAAAATATATCTGAAGTAAAAAATGTATTTATAGGATTATTAATCAAGAAATGAGCAGACATCTGGATTTATGTAGTTTTTCTGTTAAGCTGTGCATTATCTTAAATTACAAAATTCTAACATATAAGAAATTACCAAATATTCACATATAAAACAAATATCTGAAATAATAAGAGATTTAAACATTCCACGTACAATTAAAGAAAATTCTCACTAGACTGCACCTAGATTCTTCTGGGATATTTAATCAACATTACTGCTATTGCTGTCAAAATACTGCGTTAGTTTATGTTGGATGCAATAGACATTGCAAAGTAATGTTTATACATATCTGGATGTTGTAAAACGAATTGAGATGAACTATTTAAAACTTCTCTCTAATTATACCTCTTGTATTATTTGTTCTTGTTAAGGAGCAATGCACCTGATAGTCTTAATTTCACAAATTAAATAGGTGAATTTATTGCAAATTACAGCTGGACCTGAACTTACATATTCCACCCCTCTTGGGAGATACCAAAGTGCTGTTGAGGCTCTTGATCCAAGAAATTGAACTTATCATCCCCTTCTTTGGATCATAAATAATTGCCTCCCATTCCCCAGGTGTTGTATGACCCCTGTGGGTTTGGCACTTATCTATTATAATAAAAAATTTTCAAATTAAGAGGCCTGAAAGACATATTGAGAGAATATTTGAATGAATGTCTCTCTACAGTTATGAACATATGTGACAACCATCCTTTTTCCTGTCTTTTTTTGAAGGATAAGTCTCAAGGTTGCAAATAACTTTTTTTAAATCGAAACACCGGAATGCAACTTATTCGTAAGTTAGGGTCCCTACCGTATATGCAGAAGTACCGAGAAACTGCAGTTGATGCAATACTGTACTGAAGATAAGGAAGGGTAGAACACGCTTGGGTCTAGACTCAGTCTTCACTGTGTCAATTTGGAATACTTTAATGTTGGTTTTATACAACTACAACACAATCACCACTCCAAATGAGGTATCCCTACTAGCATACAAGACACATCTCTTACAACTTTTATACACCATATCTTTATTGCAATTTCATTGATGCAAAAAATTATATACTTTTCTGCATATTATTATAATTATATATAAAAATGGTCTTCTTGATAAGTTACAATACACGAAAAAAATATGTTAGGAAGTTGTATCTTGGATATCTAATGCTGGGAGGATTGCACAAAGTGTCTTCCTCAATGTCAAGCAGTTTTACATTCTTGGTCATTTAAGGGAACACGGTCCTACATCCCTTGTAGTAGTCTACATTATTATCAGAGATTCAAATAATCAGAAAGTAGTTAAATGCTTGCAACACTTAAGTCAATTATTGCATAAATACATCTATGCAAGACACAGATCTGCATCTTCCTAAACCCTACTTAGGTGCCCTAACTCCATAGTGACTAGCAAATGCTCTAGCTGTTGAATACATAATTTAACACACTTGATACCATTTCACCTGTTTATCTCTCACAATACTAACATGACTTAATCAAAATAATCAGAAAAAAGCCACCTTTATCTATACTGCTTTTGGCAAATCTTCCACATCATGTGAGCCTAGGGAAGCATAAGCATGTTAGTATGAGAATACAGTGGAAGACAACAGCTTTAATTATTAGAAACTGAAAATTTTTATTTTTGAAATATATTCACATAATATGGAAATATTGTCATGGTCACAATAAGTCGGAATGTGCTTATCCATGGACCTTTGAATAAAATAAAATAAATTAAAGAAATAAATAACCCCACAGCTACTTAAACTAATACAAAATTTCATAATGGCAATCATGCACAGTGCAAACAAAAAAAAAAAGTAAAAAATAAAAGAATCTGTGCTCCCTTACATTAAATCCCATGAAGCACCATATCTGGCAGAGCACAATGGCATCACATATCAAGTCTTCATGATCATAAACTAATAAGCTGGCTAACAGTCTTTATAAAAAACTTCATCGCCACTATCAATAGGTGAGAAGTTTTCAGCACAAGAGTCACTGAGGGAAAGCCTTCCCCCACAACGTTCAGAGCCTTCACTTGACCCACTGTCACACAGAGACTTGCCAGTAAAGGATTCTAATGGGTCAGCTTTCTTTAACCTCGCTAATCTAGGAACTTCTAAATACCACTCTTGTTAGACTGTTGTTGAAGGTTTTGTTGCTGCTGTTGTCGCTGTTGAAGAGATGAGCGTATACGAGGAGAAGGCTTAACTGCTCGGCTTGAAAAGCCTTTAGGTGGCAATGATTTTTCACACTGAGTTTTAAATTTTTTTGTAGATTCACAGCAAAAATCTTTAGACGTATCTCCTCTTGCAATGTAGAAGATTCAGCTGCTTTTTTGGAAGACATGAGAGATGTTTGGATCGAGGGATACGCGTTGGGGAGCTGTTTTTGTGTTACTGCTCAGTGCTCTCTCAACAGAACTATGTGATCCACTGGAGGACTTATTACTAATACCTTTATCTTTTACCCCTAAACTGAGGAGAAGGTGTTCTACTGGATGGCGAGTTCCCTGTCTAACACACACTTTGAGGCTCCAATGATGTTTTCTGTCACTCACTTTACTCTTAGTAGGGGTCCATGCCCTAGTTTTGTTTGTACTGACTGGGAACTGGACTTATAGTGATTAGCTCTGGTACTGCTTGTACTGGAAGCACTCCTAGCTGGATGGTAGGCATAGTGGCAGGTTGTTTGATTCCTGAGATATTGATTCACCTTGTTGAGCTGCCGTATAGCACTCTTGACACTACCAATACTGCGAGTATCCACACCCTCCTGTTCATCGGCCAGACCTTGACAACCACGATTACATTCACTAACATCACTTTTCCCAGTTCTGTATTTTCTCTTCCAAGTTACTTCTGTTTTCTCTTCAAAGTTACTTATGCTTTTTTTAAATATATTACTTTCTACTTTAGGCAAAACAGCACCAACACTCCTACTCATGTAAGGAAATGCTGAGGTATCTGTGTGTAACAGCACAGAAGTGCTAGTGGTAATGATTGATTTATTTACTCTGCCTGAAGAAGCAGTGAGGTCCTGTGAGCCCAGATCTGAATGGGAAGTGGAAAAGTCACAAAGAAATTCAAATTCTTGCAGAGCTGCCTTCTCTTGCTCTCCATATCTTACAAACAAGTCTTTTCGGCCAATGACAGTGGGACGAGGGGCTCCACTTCCAATAATTATTCGGCCACCACCACCACTACGATGTGATACTGTGGGGAAAAAAATTGCATCCATAAACTTTCAACAGAATGTTTGTAATTATTTAAGAAGTTATTGGTTATAAAACTACTTTAATACAAATACAAAATATGCATTATGAATTTACAAACATTATATTAAAGTACTCTTGAGAATACATATGGTGCAGTACAAAAAGTAAACAAGAAAATTAACAGGAATCCTTTAATAAACTTAGCCTAAAATTCACTGAAAACTTGCATATAGGTCTGTAGGAAAAATAAAAATTGATGCAAAGGGTTTGTAAGTGATGACAAAGCATTGTTATACAATAAGACAGAAAAAGGGAGAGGATCTAAATTATTACAGATCCCATGCACATTCATATACATATAACAGAATCAACTTGTGACAACAAGCAGAGCAAGTTATGCAAAATAAATAGAACCACTTAAGTCATTATATGGCAACAGGTTTATGTGGATTGCTAGAACCACATTAATCAGTAATGGTATGTGTGCCTGACTGTACATTTTTCCAGTTTAGTAACTTATTTACTACAATTACTGAAAATGTAAGTCCTGCTCAACAGTGAAAAATATACCTATAGTGTCTATGAAAGTTAATGGCTAAAAGAATAACTTGCAACTTTAATGAATACTGACTATGCCATAGCACATGCTCCTCTTGTTGGGCACATAAGGCAACAGCTTAGGGTCATTCTTGTGATACTGGTTATATGGTCATGCAGAAATCTTTTAAATTTTGATATCTATTGGTGTAGGCCTATTTTATCAAATAATGTCATAGCCATACTTAGTAATTACTGGTAAGGGTACCTTCAGTCATTAAGTCCCTACTAGTACATTATTAATATTTTAATGGAAAAAAAAAAAACATTTAGCATCTGTATCTACGTACAGTATAGTAAATGTAACGGATTTCAGATACATCAATTGTGGTGGTGCGATAAGCAAATAATGGTGGTGAAGACTTATGCAAAGTCATTCTGAGGGTCAATGGCCCTGCAGCCCAATCCTTGACCAGGCCTTCTGGTAGATCAGACCTCATCAACCAGGCTGTTTCTGCTGGCTGCACACAATCCAATGTATGAACCACAGCCCAGCTGATCAAACACTGACATTAGGTATCTGTCCAGTTCCCTCTTGAAGGCAGCCAGGGGTCTATTGGTAATTCCCCATATGCATAGTGAGAAGCTCTTGAAGTCTTAGTGTACTTATGATGCCTCTTTATCATTGGGGTATGTTGCACCAACTGCCTAGTCTTTTGTTTTCTTAGGGAATGATTTCTGTATGAAGATTTGTTACCAGATCCTCTAGGGTTTTCCAGGTGTAGATGTATCATTCTTACCTGCATTCTAGGGAATACAGGTCAAGGGACTTAAAACTTTTCCAGTAATTAAGGTGCTTGACTAAACTTATACATGCAGTGAAAGTTCTCTGTACATTCTCTAGATTTGTGATTTCACCTGCCATGAATGGGGCTATTAGTGTACAGCAGTATTCCAGAGAGAACAAGTGACTTAAAAAAGATCATCACTGGTATTGCATCGCTTCTTTTAAAAGTTCTCATTATCTATCCTATCATTTTCCTTGCAGATGTGATAATGACACTGTTGTGATCTTTGAAGGTGAGATCCTCTGATATTAACACTCCCTAGCCCTTCACATTTGTTTTTTCCTCTATTGTGTGATTAGAGATGGTAATATACTCTGTTCTAGCTATTATTTTCTCTAGTTTTCCATAATGGAGTACAAATTTGAAACTTGTCTTCATTGAACATCATATTGTTTTCTGTGGCCTATTTAAAAACTTGGTTTATATCCACTTGGAGATTTACCCTGTCCTTAATGGATGACACTCGTGCAAATTCTAGTATTGTCTGCAAAAGAAGTAAACAGGATTTTGGCCAGACAAAGGTTCGGTGTGTCTGCTGCATTTGGGGTTCCAGTTGTGTCATTGATGCAGCAGATTAAGTCTGCTGCATGAGGCATTTGTCTGGTGTGGGCCAGAACGGCTGCATCTGGGACCTGTCTGTTTGTTATTTTGGATGAGTCGGATTGTTGGCCCTGCCTACCTCAGTTATTGTCAGCATATGCTCACACAATCATCATTTGTCATTCATTCTAAAAAATTTTCCCTTGGTGTATGACACTAAAAATGAAAGGTAACCATAGAAGTTCATTCAAAATAGACTCATTTGATTTCCCATACTCTAATCTCTCCTTTTACTTAAGCTTTCCTTATCAGCATCGATAGAAACCAGTTTACAATAATGAGACACTGCCAAAAAATTAAGCGAGCCTATAATACCTCATTATGACTCTACAGATTTCATATTTCTTAATGAATGTGTGCCAAAAATTGAACTTAACATACATATCATGTGACTGTATAAAAAAAAATGAATGAATTTGGTCTAAAGAAAACTGAGGAAAAGAAATATAAAATTCAGTCATACTCTCTCTGGCTGGGTTTCCATTTCTTCTGACTTGGCACATGACACTCAAATTGAAATTAGCCATAAGATTTTATTCAAAATACACTCATTGGAACCATCTGTTTCTCTTCAACCAACTACATATACCCAACCATCTATGTCTCTCATAATATCTGCAGTTTTATTAGTGGAGCTGGAACCACCCGTTTCTCTTCAACCAACTACATATACTCGACCATCTACGTGTCCCATAACATATGCAGTTTTATTAGTGGAGCTCTGCAGCTCTACTTCAGAATAAAAGTTATTCTGAGTCACTACTTGAGGTTATGGCACAAAAGGTAAGAAAAATTACTGTTCAGTGATGTACCTTACTTTTGAAATCTTTTATGTTCAGGTAATTAACTGTACTGTGCTATATTTGTTTATGCTTTGTGTGCCCAGTAGTGTTACTGATGCAGCAGACTAAGTCTGCAGCATGGGGCATTTATCCTTGAATGGCAGTGGACCTGGTGTGTTATATCAGTCACTTCACTGCAACAGATTTTCACAGACACCTTTTTCCCTATTAGTCTATTATAGTGAGGTTTCACTGTATATCTTAGCTGCTGTAAAGTGAAACAGCCTCTTCCCTTAAAGAATGCATATACAGTACACATATTACTTTAAAATATTTTAGTCCTTAGCTTATAGAGAGTGGTGAATATACTTATTGTAGAAAGTCTGAATAAATGAAGAATGGGTATACAGTAGACCGTCATTTAACACGGTAGTTACGTTTCTGAAAATGCTGTGTTAGGTAAAACAGTGTTAGATGAACTGAAGAACTTATGGAAAAAATACTTATGTTCCTAGGAGACCCAAAAAAAAAGCCAAACAACTTTTTTTAGGCCTCCACATCTTACAAAAATAAAAGTGAATATGTAATTGTAGTTCATTGTCATGATGTATTATGTTGTTTTTACTGCTTAAGACTACAACTGCAACAGAAATTATAGTATTTCTTACCTTAAATTGTGGGTGCTGGTGTTTGTGGAGAGTGGAGAGTTATGCTGTGGCCCTACTGGGCTGAGGTGGATGGTAGAGGTTCTGGTTCTGAAGTCGATGGTTGTACTGGAGTGTGCATAAATTCTGTAATGGTTTTCTGTTCTATTTTACCCTATTGAATATTATACAATTGAGGGTAAGGTATCAGCTGCTCTAGACACCGTTTCAGGGTCCGCTTCAGTGAAAAAGTCTAACTTTAAGTCATTCAGTAAGTCAGTCAAGTCATTCAGTCAGCCAGTAAGCTATTCAATCAAGTCAGTGTCAGTCAAGTCATTCAGTCAGTAAGTTATTCAGTCAAGTCAGTGTCAGTCAAGTCATTCAGTCAGCCAAGTCAGTAAGTCATTAAATCAGTCAGTCAATCACACAAACTCATGTTTACCTCATTTTATGTGCACAAAGTGAGCTTCATTACGGCTACAGGTTGTCTTGTCTAATATAACTGTTTTCTTCATTAATTCTAAGATTTAACCCGTAAACGGTCCAAATGTATTTGTACGTTCACTACCCCAGTGCCCCTAATATTTTGAAAAATTAAAAAAAAAAAAAAAAAATTTTTTTAATGAAAATAAAGAGCACATTTTTCTTAGTGTTATAGGATGAAAATAAAAAAATTAGGGTCAGTACTTACTGAGATATGAGGCTACAAAGTTGGCACTTAATGCTCACCTGACGGCAACACAGAGTCCTGCCATTTGCAGAAGTGTTGCCGATGTACCATTTTTTCTCATTTTTATATTATTTTATATAATTTTTATGTTCTGATAATTACAATTTATTGTAGTTCTTGTCATTTCATAACCAATCATTATTCTGACACTAATATTAGGTACTGAAATTGCACTTAAATTGTCACAAACACATTGACAGGTGGACATTTACACCTGCCTTGGTCATTTACTAATGTCTAGGAATATATACAAAGTATTTATAGGTCCCAGCAATGTTTTGGATACACGGGAATATAGAAGAAGAAGGAAGGAGGAGGAGGATTATTATTATAATCAAAAAGAAGCGCTAAGCCACAAGGAGGAGGAGGAGGAGGAGGAAGGAAGGAAGGAGGAGAAAGAAGGAAGAAGAAAGAAATTCCCTTGAAGCAATGTTTAAGACAGGTGTTCAGTGACAAGCATCCTGGAGGGCAGAGATAAGAGAAGATAAGCTATGACATTTGATGGGTGCCAGTGAGGGTGCAGAGATGAGGGATGACATTTGATGAGCTTGTAACTCTGATTATCTCTCTCTCTTATTTCTCTGCTTGTCTCTGTCTCAGAGAGAGCCACTGTGAACCAACAGGTATTCTTATGCATTATATCTACAAGTACAGTATAGCACTTCGGATTTTTTAGGTTATCCTAGGTAATTTACACTACGTATGTATAATTGTGTTTGTGTGTACCTGTGAGACAGAGACAGAGATAGACAGAAATAGACAGAGACAGATAGACCCTAAACTTGGGGTTAACATCGCTTTCCTCCTAAAAGGGGTGTTAATACTATTACATCAGTGAATCCTTGGTGGTTTGCCCA